AATATAATATAATATATAAAATATTTTAAATTTTATAAGCTATATTATATATCAGATTTTTAATTTTTTTTAAATTACTGATAAATTAATTTATTTTTTATTAGGTATAAGTAAATGGTGTTAAGGCATGGGAACGGACATCCCTCTGTGGATAGGTGGATTCAAGAAATGGGTCATAGGTGTCAACAAACACACAACATGCGAAGACATAGTCAGAGCCGTACTTGCATCGAACGATGTTGATAGACAACACAGGCATCGAAGAGATAATAGAAACTACACGATAGTGGAAAGATGGAGAAAGGTGGAACGACCTTTAGATTCAAAGTCGAGGATTCTTAAAGTGTGGAAGACATGGGGTGACGAACAATGCAACGTCAGATTTCTGATGAAGAAAGTTCATCATCCAACCATAAAAGATTATCGAACACATAGAAGAAAACACTTGAAAATAGTAAATAGACTTTCTAAATCCAATTTGTGTCATCATTCGGAGGAAGTCAAACTGTCCACGGAGTATACCGATTTGAGCATCGAAGAGCTTAAAAAGGTAATTCGTAGACAAAATGAAAACTTATCGGAACAGTTGAAAAGTTTGGAAGAAAAGGACGATGAGATTGATTATTACGAAACCAAGATTCATCTGATTCGTATGCATCAGATAGGTGCTAATTATGTACAAGATACATATTTAGGTGGAAGCGACGAAGAAGATTCGAGCGCTTTACAATCCGATTCCAGTGAAATTATACAACAAGTGATTCAAATGTACGAAAAACTGTTAGATACATGTAAAAGGTTAGAAAGCGAAAAGAGGACTATTTCGCAGCTCACTTCGGAAATCAAAAGTCTCGGTGATAAACTCGATTCTTCCAATAATATAGACGAAGAAATCGAAAGGATTCGCCAAAGATTGAACGAATTAGTTAACGTAGTAGAAAAACAAGATAATATAATTAAAGAAAACGAAAAATCTCTTACAGACATTACCAAATCTCTTCACGAAAAAAACCATTGTATTCAAATCTTAGAAACGGACTTAGAAAAGTTAGAAAACGAATCCTTAAGGCTACAGCACGATTATGATATTGTGCACGGTCTTCAACCGGATAAAAAAGTTGTCAAAACTAAATCGTGTGATGTCACGAACGAAGGAGTTGATAGCAACTCTGATACGGGTCTAAGTTCTCTTCACAGTAGTAGTGATGACTGCGTTGTAGTATTGGATACACTTGTATAGAAAAATATAGATATATACGATTTCACCTTTTCCACAGTTATATTCCTCTTTATATTCTCTTCCATCTTACATATTATACATTTTTTATTTTTATTTTTTAAATTACTCTTCTCTGGGCATTATCCCCAACTTTATTCGACTTTTTCAAAAATTTAATTCTATTTTAATATTAAATTCTGTGCAATAACTATTAAAAAATAATAACATTTGTGTAAAACATGTGAAATTGCCTGTCTCTGTAAGTAAAAATTCGTGATCTTTTGAAACATTACTTGTGTATATATATGGATCCATATCCTGTATCATATGTCGAGTTACATTTGGAATAAGCTATTGAATCTATATTCGAAAATTATATTTGTAAATATTATTGAATAAATATTTGAAACGAAATTATTTATATGATATAAATTATAAAATATGCATAAATTCTATCATCTATCCTTAAAAATTTATTACAAATAATATAAATAAAAGTATATAAAGTTCGTATTTGATATACAATTTATTAAATACTCTATAATCAATTATAGAGAATTTAATATTTATAAATAGATCGATGCTTATAATTAAAATGTTTATAAAGCTTCGACAAATATCTCTACTTTTAATGATTTGTTTACATTTTATTAAATAAAAGGTAAAATTTCTAATACTAATATCAAATTACTGGAAGTAGTATCTATATTTTATTGTTCTGTATAATAAATTTTCATTTAATTATACTTAAATGAAACACAAACTTTTAAAATCACGTCGAAGAATTTAAAAAAATTATTAAATTGTTATAAATTAATAAATCTTTTTAATTTATGCAAATACTCAATGTCTATGAATTTGTTCTGTTGGGATGCTGGAATTTAGGGCATAAAATGAAATTTTGGAATATATTTTAAGCTAATTCAAACTCCAACGAGAATTACAAAGAAGAAAAGTAATTTTTGTATGAATTTCTACTGGATAATGAATATTAAGCTTTAAAGTTCTAATAATTTTTTACGTACAAGTTTAACGATCTCGAGATGGAGTTTTCAGTATTTAGTCTTTAATTATTCCGAAATTATGTAAATAAGCGTCATTTAAAATATTCACATTACGCATTATAATTAGTTTTTAGAAGTGTAAATGTTGTAAAAATTAATTTTTTTCTTGTATTTTGTATATAACGAGATGATACAGTTTATATTAAAAGGAAGGTTTATAATGTGAAGATTTAATTAAATATAAAAGCTAGGAAAATTATACGTTTATAAAATATAAGTGGCACGTTATAGATCTATAGTAAAGACTAAAAATCTATATCGTGCCACTTATATTTTATGTATTAATGCCGTTAATTAACGATGCCGAAAACTCGTCACAGCATTAATACGAGAATTTTTGTTATAGCCATTTATTTATTTATTTAGTTTTTTACTATTTAAGCGTATACGAGACATTATTTTTTTCTGTATAAAATTTATTTATATGTAAACATACACAAATTTATGAGATGTTTCAAATTCCAAATGCAAATTACGCGACTTATAAATTTATATTTGCATAGGAAATACATCTAGAAAAACACGAATAACAAATCAATTTTAATTAATGAGATAATAATTTTAAAAGACCGAAAATTATATTTTAAAAGAAACATAAAATTAAATTTAGTTTTGTGGAATAAAATAAGGTTATTGATCGAAGAAGAGAGACGAGTTTAAATCGTAAATCAGTGTAAAGATATTATCTGGAGAAAGAAATTTAATAACGAATCAGTCTAAATTTTGAAAAAAATACTTTGTTTTTTTTAAGGAGTTGTGTGTGTATAAATACACGAGGAACTTCTCGAGTGAAGATTTGACTAAAAACTCATTTCACGCACCAGGGATATGCTATGAACAACACCTTCCAATTAACTCCTATCTCGACCCAATGTCAACTTTAAAAAGAGACAAGCTGGAAAGAAAAAGCGTTCAACAACTCGGATCAGCCAAACGTAACGTTGCTACAGTAATTGGCGTATGATAACACCGAAACGATTTTCCTTTTTTTCTTTGTCGAAGTCAACTCTTGTGTAAAATACGTTTATACTTAACATTCGCTTTTGTTCCTTTTTCGAATTTATAACGGTTAGTCAGTGTGACGTAATTACGAATCCTACCTCTTCTTTTCCACAACTGACAACGAGACAATCTCCTTTAAGTAATAATAATAATATTATTATTATTATTAATTTTTTATAATGATTTATTAAAGAAACATGTTAACTTCATATCTCGACTAAAGACAAGAAACATTTATGTTTTTTTGCCTTTAAATTCTGTATTTTACAAATTGTTAATTTATATTTAACAATCCGAAAGAATAATTAACGTTAGAATAATATAGAATTAAATGTAATATTTGATTACTTAAACGTCAAAATTTCTATTATTATTTTATTATTAATAATTTAATATCGATCAATTATTTCATTTGCTATTATAATTAAAACTCGAATGCTCGGTTGTCAATCGCTTAGTTAAACCACGTGAGTGTGCATTGTTCTAGAAGATATCGAGTTTTTACTAAAAGTTTTCTTCTAGATATATCGGGAACATTCTAGAACATTTAGCTGACGGGTATATAAGGCTCGCTTAATTTTTCCTTATTCCTATTGTACTTTTTAGACCATTCACAAATTAAAATCTTAGTTACTCCCTGGCAAACACATGTTTCTCTCTTCACAATTCGTTCTCTTCACAATATAGAAAGAAGATTACACAGAGAAACGGTCTTTTGTGTCTAAATTCGTAAAAATTTCACAGGGTCTTTAACAATTTTAAACACAAATAACACAAAAGAGTCTATCATTTGTGTTATTTGTGTTCTTGTAGTGCGAAGAAGAGCAATTGTGAAGAATCCAAATTTGAGTTTGTCTTCTATTCAAAATTGTAAAATCTGTTTAATTGTAAAATTATATTTTGCACGTAAACATAATTCAAAAAAGATATTTTAAGAGCGCACCGGATATAAATCAACTGATATAAGTTAACCATACGGATGATTGGTTCGAGAGGAAACAAACAATCGTGATATATTGACCATTACGGTTCGTGAGTAATTGTACAATTATAGAACAAAATGTTCTTTAATAAACATGATACTGAACTATTTTAGTCGTACAAAATTACATTTTATAGAGAAGTATAATTTATCATTATAATTAAATAGGATAGTTTAGAATTAAATATATCCCAATAAATTGCTTTTTATTAAAATATGTAGGCGTAATTAACGTCGGGGGTTAACGTAACTGTTTTGAGAGAATGGATTTATTACTGGAAGGAAGATAATTTCGTGCATGACTTTACTAAGAAACAAAATCTAACAATGCGGAAACACGTCGTAGACTACACCCTTCTTTGATTGGTAATGATGGCTGCCATGCGGCAAATTAACGTTAGTGTTTCCAATTAAAAATTCGATATTTAAAAGGTTAAAGTATGTAAGGCACGTACAAGAAGTCTTCGAAGAATTAACGTGTTCGAACACGTTAATTTCATAAAGTGTTAATCTCAGTTTATTCATTAGTATTAAGAAATATCTACATGTTTGTATTGGGATTCCGAACATTCGATTGGAAAATCGAAATAATTTCTACAGTAAGTGGTAAATATTTCACTAAAGTTTCTGATGACGTATTTGTTACATATTACGAAATAAAGAGGTAAATTATTTTCTTCTACATACGTAGATAAATCCACAAACTGTTTTCCGTGTAACCAATCATTGTTTATATGGAAACGAATAATCAAGGGATTCGGCAATCTTTCAACGTAAAGTATGGTAATGAATTTCTCTTCTTACAAATACATAAAAATCAATTTTTATAAAAATTATTCCAACAATTTACAATAAACAGACACTTTAACAGAAGATATTCTCCACAAATTACGAAGTAAAAAATAAAGTGAATAGGTATTTACACGTTACTGGTTGTATTTCTTTACCCTGAACAGCGAGACCAGGTAGACTCTAGCTATTGTTTACGTGATTAATGTTTTTATCCAAATTTTGTTAACCAGGTATTCAAGCTACTGTAATGCAATTTTAAATCATAAAATTAAAAAAATATTTAGCCAATAAGTTACTTTTACTTATACCAAATTGACTCCAATAAAATTCCTTATAGTCTGAATATGTAAATTGAGTTGTAGAAATACTGTATTTACTAAAACATTGAAATAATTTTCTACAGGATTTTTATCATTATTATTTTAGAAACACTCTTATTAAAATTTTTGGTCAAATTTTGCCACCGTCTATTTTATTCTTAAATTTTTGATTGGCCAAATAAAGCATTTTCGTCAGCATAAAGACGAATTAAAAAAAAGCAACGAGTTGTTTAACTTTCCCGGCAACATTTGGTAACGCCATCTGTTATATTTTATTATTAAAATCTTTTTATATTTGTATCTATTATAAAATGGCAAAAAGCTTAATTTTTTAGTGTATGGGTTTTATAAAAAAAAGTTGTAAATGCTAATAACGAGTAAAATCTTCATTAAGTCCGACCCAACTGGAGATAACACAACTATCATTATCTCCCCATCCCCTCCACCTTTAATCACCAAAATATAGTAGCATCGACCTCCCTAATGAACAAACCTCCTTGCAAGATTTCATAAATTTTTGACAAAAAGCACAGGAGTTATTAAGCTTCAAACAGCGTAAACAAAATCGTATACCATACACTAACAACCAATACGTACAGGAAATACCCCCGAATTTTTTTTTTTGCATTTCTCGACGTTTCAAGGTGTCCTAAGTCCAACAAATAAACAAAAAAAGATGGCCATACGTTTTATCTATTACTGTATATATAACAATTATTATTATTATATTATTCTTTACCACGTGACTCCAGGGAATATAAAATGACTCGTGGCTGTTGTGAAAAGGATTTTAACTTTATAAAAATAATCGACGATTTATATGGAATGGTTCAAAAGTCGGTTAACCAAGATAAAGACTTGATTTAAACCATTTTAATTAATTGTTTTTACTAGACAGCCATTAGGGAGAATGTAGGCCTGTGTCATCGGCGTAATTTTAATATAAAAAGTAAATTAAGGTCATCAGAACGTTTCGCCTGGTAACTTTAGCAGATGTGGAAACCGTGAGAAACGGTGAAATGTCACGTCACGCAGCGACAACCTTGCGTGAAGTAAACGAAATAGGTGGAGACCGGCGGAATTTCGGCAATTGAACAGAATATCAAGTTAACACGTCTGTAAAATCAAAGATTTTATAAAGAAAAGTGCCCGTTTACTTCCAAAAATAAACAAATGTATCCAATTT